AGAGCTCATCTGCAGGCAGTGGCAATGAATATTCCACCTCTCCTACAACTTCATTATCCGGGGAGAGGCTCGTAGAAGAAAAAGGGGAAGAAGTAGAAGGGGGTGAGCCCCAAGTAGGAGGGTAGAGAGGACCAGAAATCTGGAGGCATGGCAGAACCGATTTGTGAGTGAGGTTGCCTATCACAAGTTCAGAGAGTGGTGGCCCGAGAGGAAGCTAATACCTGAGCGTAAATTCATCACCCGAGACCTTTTGCCTCACAATCCCAATGTGTTAAGGCAATTTAGAGAGAGAGCTGGATGGGATTATTTCATAGGCCACATGGAGAATGCCAATGAGCACTTGGTGAAGGAGTTCTACACAAATGTTCTGACATCAAAAAGGACACCACAGTGACCAAATTGCGGAACTTGAAGGTAAAATTTGATGGCAAGATAATAAATGATTACCTGGGCTTCCTGAAGGAGGATAAGTCATTGTATTTGGAGAAAACGGCATTGGGTGAGGCTGCTCATCCTTGGTTGGCAGAGTACTTGGAAATCCCAGGTACCATCCCCGATTGGTTGACTGTGGGAGTGAAGATTCTGAGAAGGTCACTGAACTTTGAAGCTAAAGGGTGGGAAATATTTGTGTGTAGCAGGCTAGACCCTACCACCCACGACAACTCACTTCCTATCCATCGAGCTATATTGGTGGCATAGATCATGGCGAGGTACCCAATTAACATCGGGAATGTGATATCCCGGGTAATTACCCGGGTGGTGAACGAAGGTGATAGATCTTATCCTTTCCCCAACTTCCTGACCATGTACCTTGAGAAGTTAGATGTGGAGAAGTGGAAATTTGATATGAAAGTGAAAGCGAAGGCATCGTTCTCCTGGTATAGCCTACAGGGTAATGACAACCCTAAAGGCAAGAACTTCAAGGGCAAAGCCACTACTTCAACTGGCCAGTCTGAAGAGCCAGTAGTGGTAGTGGCTCCTACTCAACCTCTTTCCACCACAACAGACATGGCCCCAGGACCATCTACTTCTTTAGCTCCAGAGATTCCATCATCAACTGCATACTCCTTGACTACCCACCGCCTGAACCAGACCCTCGCCAGCATCAACAACTGGATGCAAACAATTGTCTGCATTATCTACTATGGTGACAGCCTAGTCAGCACCTCCTCTGCCACAGGTCCCACAGTTCATTGAGGACACTCTAAAGGAGATTCTGGATAACCAGAAGAAGCTCAGATATGTTGTTGACACTCATGGAAAGTCATTGAAGGAGCTTGCTAGGGAGGCAAAGAACATGAGAAAACTCGGGCTTCAAAGTGGTCGGTGAATGAGCTACGGGTGGAGGTAGAGAGGTTGAAGGCGGATCACCTGCCTCTAGATTTGTTATTGCATGACCCGACGCCAGTAGCCCAGCCCCAGCCAAGGCAGGAGTCAGAAAGTCCACCCAAGAGGAAGAGGGTGATTCCCCGTTCTGACGATGTAGTCATACAGTTGGAGGACCTGCAGGGAGGTTCCTCCAGCCAACCCCAAGACTCAGCGCAGGTCTAGGTCAGGTCCTAGTGGAGCCACAAATCATAGGGAGCCAGTCACAGGTTCCCGAGCAGATAGAGGACCCAGGGACCCAGACTTAGGATCCTATGCAGACAGAGGGCCATTGGGAGTTTCTTTTTCCTCTCTTCTTTATTTTGTCCTTATTTTGGTTAGTTGGCATTGAGGACAATGTCAGCTTTCATTTGAGGGGGTAGCCCTATTTGGATGACTGTATATATGACAGTATTTTTTTTCTTTATGCTTTCTTTTTTACCTTTGGTATGTATATAACTTTATCATTTCATTGCACTTTTCATACTTTTTACTTTTGGGTCTGTATATAAAGTTACGTTCTTATGTATATATTCATTCTCTTTATTCTATATTCGATTAAATCCCCTCTTGTACATATCCATTTTACTTTCCGCATTTTTCCTTTCTTAGCTTCTTATTTAATGTTCGTAGCTTCTTGTTTTGAGTTTTTGTAATAAGCCTTTGGTTTTCTTAATGCCACGGTTCTTTCCAAAGGTGGAATTTTTGTGAACCGAGTGGCTCTTCCCAATAATGGATGGCATGAGAACCTTCCTAAGGGTTTGAGTCTGTTTTCTTTTTGCTTTTTAGTAGTTAGTTGGTAAGGGTGCCTCAAGCAAAACTTCACTTGGGCCTAGCACATTCTCCTTTGATCCTATGTTCAAAAACAAATCGTTGTGTATAGGATGGTGATAGTTGTGACCTTCAGACTCTTGTGTTGGCCGATAATCATCAAATGGTTTTTTCGGGACCATTGTGTAGCTCAAATCTTAGATAAGGTTGTTGTGGTCCCCCGACTCTGTGTCTTTATCAATCTCATAGCTTGTGTGGTGAGTATTTGAATTTCAAGTCCAAGTCCCGAGCCATTGGTCTAGAACTTGCCCTGAATATTTGTCTAGGCGAAATCCTAAGTGTAATTTGACTTGAGATGTGATTATAGGCTCTCCTTAATCCGAATGATATATTGAACACTTTCATAGCCTACCAATGATAAAATCCCTAGTCAACTCGTTTGAGCCATAGACCTTTTTCTTTCAAAAACCATGATACAAGCCTTTACCCGTTCTAAAATACCCTCTCTTGGCACCCGATCTTTTCTTAGGACAAGGCAAAAGTATAAGTTTGGGAGGAGAGACGAGGAATGCAACAAAGTGGAAAAAGGTAGAAAATGAAAGGCAATGAAAAAGGAAGAAAACCAAAAAGATAAAAAAAATGTTCAATGTAGAAAAGAATGAAGGGACTCAATAAAAGTAAAAAGATGAAAGGTGTAGAAAGTTGAAAAAGGAGAAAAAGATTTGAAATGAACAAGAAAGAGTGATAATGTATCTCTCTAACCCCTTAGAAAGAAGTTAAAGGACTTTAAAAGTCAAGAGAATATGTGCCAAAAATGAAGCAAAAGAAGTGCTAAAGGGAAGATGGAACCTAATTAGACCAAACATTTCTTACCCTGAACCAAAAGCCTTCACTATGTCTCCACAAAAAGCCATATATGATCTTGAGTTGAATAAAGCTTACATTAGTGGTGACTCACATAAGGGGCAAGCATATGGTACTTAGAGTCGGACTTATGACTTTTCTTTGAGAGAGATGAGTGTATTTCCATTAACCTCGTTCTGAGTACTACAATCCTAAAGGTGAGGTTTGCTTAGGAAGAGTTGAGGATGTGTGAGTTTGGGTTCCACAATGACCAAAGTAATAGAAAGCGTTTCTTTGATGTGTTGAGTCAACTCTTGATGCTCATGTGTCGCACTAAATCCTTGGTGCTTAAAAGAGTGAATGTTGTTAATGATTCATTTGAATTGAGGGCAATTGTTAGTCCCAATTGATGCTAGATAAGGTCACTTTAGGTCAGCTGAATTTTCTTGGATTTACTCTTAAGGGGTGGGTCTTATTTTGTTTGCTTGAGGACAAGCAAAAGCTTAAGTTTGGGGGAGTTGATAACTAAGGATTATGATGCATTTTACACTCATTCTTACTTGAGCTTTGATTAGAAATGTGTACAAAATAGCCCCAAAGGCTTACATATTGTACTTGATTGCAGGGTTTGGTCAACAAGGTGACAATTTGTCAAAACCAGCTCAAATAGGAGTGAAACATACACAAGTACAAAGAATAAGTCCAAGCACAGTTTAACAGGACCAATGTGACTGCACTCCATTCTGTGCGGTCAGCAAAGAGGAAGTTCAGAGAGGTGTTATTTTGGAGACTCAAGCATTGCGGCCGCAAAGTAATTTGTGCAGACTGCAATGGACTCAATACGGCCGCACTCGATATTGTACGGTCCGCAAAAGCTGGAGTTCAGAGAGTTGCAAATTTGGGGAATATTGCCAATGCGGTCCGCGGTACTTTTTGTGCGGACCGCAATAGAAGCCACTGTGGTCGTGGTGCATTTTGTGCGGCCCGCGGTGGCCAAGTTCAGAGAGCAGAAGTTTTAAGCCAAGAGCCTCAGTGCGGCCGCACTCGATTTTGTGCGGACCGCAATAGAAGCCACTGTGGTCGTGGTGCATTTTGTGCGGCCCGCGGTGGCCAAGTTCAGAGAGCAGAAGTTTTAAGCCAAGAGCCTCAGTGCGGCCGCACTCGATTTTGTGCGGACCGCACTACCCCAGCAGGGGTATTTATGTCCAAAAAAATCGGCCTAGTATAAATAATTTCTTTTCCAATTTTTAGGTCATCAGTTGTAGTTTTTAGCAGAGTTGCGCTGGTGAACAGTTTTCCTTTACTATTTTGAGTATTTTTACAATAGTTTTATCATTGAATCTTCAAGTTTTAGCTAGTAATTAAATATTTCGGGTTTTTCTTCATCTATTTTTTTGTTTTCTTCTATTATCATGAGTAGCTAGACCCATTAGCTAGGGTTGTGGCTCAACCCTAGTGTGAGTATTTGATGAGTCTTGTGTTTTAAGGCTTGAATGTCTATGGGCGTTTGATATTTGGACTAATTTATGATTTTAATGTTGAATTAGTGGTTGCAAACACTAATTTGTGCCTATTTGACTTGGGCTCTTCTTGAGAAAGAGAGCCTAAGTCTGGGAAAATTAGTCCAACAAGGAATTGGAGCGTATTCAAGAGATTGATAGCCCCAATTGAAGGGTTAAACCTAGAGATAGTACTACCCGACTTGAACCTCAATTGCTTGCACAAATTATCATACCCAATTGGTCTTGAGAAAGTCAATTAGGGCAAAATCACTCAAACTACCGAGAGGTATAAAGTGAGTAGTATCGTGCAATGGTTATATCATAATCCCCAACATGACAACCTAGACTTAGACTCAAAAACCCGTCAAGTATCCAACTAGGAGAAAGTCACTTCCCTCGTACCTTTAAACTATTTAGACAACCTTCAATAGTTTACTCTTAGCTTAACTTAGCTTAATTATCATCTTATTAGTATAAATTTAGAAGTAATATCAAAACCAACTATGATTAGAAGTGCAATTAGGAGCAATTACGCATCTTTAATTTAGATATAAACTCAATTCCCATCTCTATCTCCCTGTGGAAATCTTTCCCGACCTCTCGGGTAAAAGCTGCTTCGACCACTCTTGATACTTTGTAGTAGTGTAGAGTTGGCTTTAATCACTGGCCCAGCCTCGTTCTATTTGGTATAACTTCTAACAGAAAAAGTGGGCCATGCGAATGTGTGCACTTTTTTTTTGTTTTGAAGACTCAGAAGGGAGGCGTAGGGAGACAGTTTAATACAGTTCAAGTAATATGAAAACCTGTAAATAAACAACATTTAGCACATTAGGTCCACAAATATGATAATATGATTAATAAATAAAGCCAAGTAAAAATCATAGAAACAAGCTCAAATTCTGAACCCTGAACCAGAGATTCTGGGTTCTTATCCCCAGCAGATCGTCAGAGCTGTCACACCTCCTTTTTACTACCCCGGAAGGGGTATTAAGGGAGTTTTTTCTAATTTAAGTGACAATCAAAACGGAATTATTTATAATAAATTCAGAGTCAACACTTGGGATAATTTATGGTTTCCCAAGTCACCGATTTAGAATTCTGAATCGAGGAAGTTGACTCTTATTTATGGTCTACGAATACAGAAATTTGGGTAAGAAATTCTATTAAACCGGGAGAAGGTGTTAGGCATTCACGAGGTTCTATGGTTTTAGCACGGTCACTTTGATCATACTTGGCTTAATCAAATTGTCTAATTACTTATTTTAGAACCTATGTGCATTTACCTCTTTTAATTGTGAAATTATCTCAAAACAGGTCACGCGCACGTGTACCATTTGTTTGGCGCGTCCAAAGTCATGTCACGCGTACGTGTCCACAATTAATCACGCTTTATTAATATTAAGAAAGTTTGGTCGAAGTTGCGCGAACGCATACCTCGATTTATTTTTGAATGCCACGCCAGTTATCATATTCAATGCATTCAAGCATCTGGAGGAACTATCCTACAATAATTTTTCAACAGTTACATTCTCCTTCTTTATGTTAAAATTATAAGCAACAAAGCTAACCACAATTTCAAACTGAACAAGAGCTTATTATTGATGAATCCATTTGCAACGTATAAAATTAAGTCTTCTTCCTTATAGTTTAGATGTGTTTTAAGACTTACAAGAGCTCAAGAATCCTGGAAACTTGTCATAAAACTACAGAAACAAAACAAAGACTTTGCATACAGCAGCAAATACATATTTAGCATAATGTATTCAGGTGACAATCCATTTTTCTAAGAATATTCATTCTTTAAATAATACTCGTATCACGCGAACATATACACGATTAATAGCATTTTATTATTATTAAGATCGTTTCGTCCAAAATCGCGCAAATGCGTACTTTGATTAATACTTATATCTGATCAATTCATATACTTATATTCGGTCAATAAATGTTCCATCACCACGTTTTACCAATCACACAATACTTTTAATATGGGAAAGGAACGTCTTGTCCAATAAGAATGTCTAAGATGATAAGCTTTTAGCACAATTTTTTCAAAAACCACAAAATGAGCTAGATCAACAGAATGGTACTCATACACCATTAGACTCCCGATAGATTAGAGAAAATCGGAAATACCCTTATCTCATACTACTCTCCCGATACAGAATCTAATGTTTTGAAGAAAAAAACAATACAAAAAATTCTCATATCTAATTCGAAGTGCCATGCTATTATTACTTAGTATTCATATGGCGAAGGCATAGTCTTAATTCTGAGTATCGATCCACATTAACAAATAAGTAGAAGTCACATAAATGGTATGCATTCTTTCACTTGAACAATTAAAGATCAATTCCAATTTGGACACTTTCTAGGGATACTTTCAGTCAATTCAACGTGGGAGATTTACAACTACAAGGATCAAACAAAACCATAGAAAGAGGTCTCAAACATATTAAACTCGATATTAGAATAGAATGAGAGAGGAAAGAATTGAACCTCAAGTTGCCTTCAATTAATAAAAATTCCAGCAGTTACACGGGTGGAAACAAACCACAACCACGATCGGAACTCAAATCGGATAGGACCCTCGAACACGGACCTTGACAGAACCTCGAACCGGTACAAGATATTTTGAATCCATAAACTACATCAAATGACCTTCATTATGGTACGAAAATCAGTGGACAACACCTCTGATTTTTGAGATGAAAGTCGGAAAAATGGAAGAAGAAAAACAGAATAATTTTTCGTTTTTTGTATAACTGACAGAATCGCGGCTGTGTTTTGGGGTTTCTAGCCACATCCATTGCTAGTGGTGTCGCCACTCGCCGGTGATCAATTCCAGCGAAGCAACAACTTGAGTGAGGAAGCAGAAGTGAGAGCATCTAGTTTTTCTCTTGGGGGTGGTCGTTCATGGCGGAACTGGTGAACGTTGGTTGTTGCTGGTTTTGTTTTAGAGAGGGAGGTCGTTGGGATGAGGTCTGTTTTGGGGTGTTCCTATGTTGAAAACGGTTGAAGAAGATGAATCGATGGGGGGAGGGGGTCTCGAAGAAGATGATCTTCAGGGGGGGTCTATTTTATGTATTGAAAACGGCGGATCTCTTAGGTCTACCCCTAGGTTTTTGGTCTAGGGTCTTTTTAAGCTTCTTTCTATGGTTTTAGGGGTATTGGGTTTGGGTTCTATGAGCTAGGTCCGAAAATTAGGCCTAAAATGGGTCGTTTGAGCCCAAATTTTATTCTCCCCGTGTACAATATTAAAATACCACCTTATTTACTAATTAATCCTACTTAAATAAAATAACTATTAAAATGAGACTAACCGTTAAAACAAACCTATTTTTTGGTATTTTTCAAATATCATACTAAAAAATAAAGAATGGAATTAGATTAAAATTATTGCAAAAAATTAAAATAATATTCCTAATAACAAAATGGAATTATTTTTGTATTTTTGAATTTTATGTAAAGTAGATAAATGAAAAGTAACTAGATAAAATGTTAATTAGCTAAATAAAAGAAAATATTTTTGTAATTTTTATTTTTGTGATAAAATAAAGTAAAAGAGTCAAAACTATTTAAAATAGCGATATTAAACCTAAACTAAATATTTACGCAAAAAATGTGTAAAATTTTGGGAAGAGTCAAAAATCACATGTCTATAAGTGCTACAATATAAAGTGAGATTTGCTTGTGGAGAGTAGAGGAGGAAAAGTGTGGGTTCCACAATGACCTACGTAGTAGAGCGAGCTTCCTTGGTAAGTTAAGTCAACTCTTGATGCTCTTGTGTCGCACTAGAACTATGGTACTCAAAAGGTTGTGTGTTGTTGATGATTCATTTGTGTTAAGGGTAATTGTTAGTCCATATTGATACATGTTTGATTCGCATTAGGGCAGCTGAAATATTCTTTTGTTTTATTTTAGTGGAGGTGAGAATTACCTTATTTGCTTATGGACAAGAAAACGTTTAAGTTTGAGGGAGTTGATAAGTGAGGATTTTAACCTATTATTTGCTCTTTCTCACTTGCGTTTTGGGCCTAAATGCATGAAGGTATTCCCGAAAACTAATATAATATGCTTGTTTGCAGAGATAGTTCATAATGAGCCAAGGTAGCCATGATTAACTCATAAAGGAGTCAAACATGAATAAAGACCAAGACTAGGCCAAGAGCTGTGGAACGCGGACTGCGACAGAAAATTGCGGCCGCGAAAGTGTCAACGCGGACGTAGTCACTAATTTTCAAACCGCGAAATGGAGAATCAGAGAGGTGGTTTTTGGGCAAAGACATTAATGCGAACCGCGTCAGAAATTGGCGGCCGCAAAAATACCACAATGACCGTGATTGGAATTCCGCGGACCACGTTTTCTAAGGTTCAGAGAGCTCACTAAATAGGCAAAAATGTTAAGAGCGGACCGCATCAAAATTACGGGGCCGCGGAAGGCTCCCACACGGATGCGGTGACAATAATACAGCTCGCGAAACAAGTTCCAGCCCAGTCTCATATGTAAAGAAATACAGACCGCACTTAATATTACGTGGCCGCGAAAGCAAGAGTGTGGCTGTGGTGAGAATTACGCGGCCGCGAAACCTCCGTGGGGGCATTTTTGTCCGAAAATTTCAGCCTAGTATAAATAGATCTTTTTCACATTTTTAGGTTATGTTATGTTTTGCTGAGCACGTGAGACGGCTAGTTTTTCCTATTCGGGCAATTTTGTACAAGCTTTACCTTATAACATTAGATTTTCATCTTTCAATTTAGTATTATGAATTTTATCTTCTCTTTATCTTTGATTTCTGCTATTTTCATGAGTAGTTAAACCCATAGCTAGGGTTGTCACCCAACCCTAGTGAGGGTATTTAATGGGTCTTGAATTTTAAGGCTTGAATGTGTGTGTGTGTTAGTGATATTTAGCCTAGTTTTTGATAGAACTATTGAATTAGTGGTTGCAAATACCGATTTATGCTTTTATGACTTAGTCTCTACTTGAGAAAGAGGGACCAAGTATAGAAAAACTAGGCTAACAGGGAATTGGGGTGAACTCAAGAAATTGATGGCCCCAATTAAAGGGTTAAACCCAGAGATAGTAATACCCGACTTAAGCTAAAATCACTTGAAGTGTGATAGCTATATTATGACCCCCAACCAATCACATGATTGACCTAGATTCTTGCTACTCGTTAGATATCCACCTAGGCGGAAGTCACTACCATAGTCCCTTTAAATCTTTGAAAACAACCAACAAAAACATTCTACTTAGTTTCAAATACTGCATGCTATAGAATAGAAGTAGAAGTAAAAATCAAACCAACCTTTTGTGAAGTGCAATTAAGAGCAAAACCCGCATCTCTACTTGGTTATAAACCTAACTCCAAACAAATTTAACTCCATGTGGATTTGATCCCGACCTTGTTGGGTAAAACTGCATCGACCATCCTCGCTACTCAATAGTAGTGCAGGCTTGGACCCGATCAAACCTCCTTGATCGGGTGAACCTTCTGTTGCACTTTCACAGAAGAAAAACTCTTGAATCTCAACCTACGAACCTTCCGAGCTAGAATAGCCACCGGCGCTTCCTCATTGGTCAGATTTTCACCAAGTTGCACCGTGCTGAAGCCTAAAAAATACGAGTTGTCCTCATGGTACTTTCGAAGAATGGCGACGTGAAATATCGGATGAACCCTTTCTAGGATAGGAGGCAAGGCAAGCCTATAAGCAACCTCCCCAACTCTCTCAAAGATCTCAAACAGGCCAATAAACCTCGACTCAGCTTTCCCTTCTTCCCAAATCGCGTCATGCCCTTCATAGGCAACACTCGGAGGAGAACCTTGTCACCCACCATATAACCTATATCTTCAACCTTCTGGCCCACAAAACTCTTATGCATGGACTGAACTGTACGAAGTCGTTCCTAAATCACCCTTACCTTTTCCACAGCATCACAGACCAAATTGGTGCCCAACAACCTAGCCTCTTCGGGCTCAAACCAACCAATTGGTGAACGTCATCGCCTCCCATATAATGCCTTGTATGGTGCCATCTGAATACTCGACTGGTAACTGTTGTCGTAAGTGAACTCTATAAGAGGTAAGAGCTGGATCCATGAACCTCTGAAATCCATTACACAAGTGTGTAACATGTCCTCCAAGATCTAAATAGTGCGCTTAGACTGTCTGTCCGTCTAAGGATGAAATGATGTACTCAGCTCGACCCACATGTTCAAATCACAGTGCATGGCTCTCTAAAAATATGATGTGAACTGTATGCCTTGGTCAGAAATGATTGAAATGGGCACGCTGTGCAAGCAGATAATCTCCTGGATGTAAATCTGAGCCAACAACTCTGAAGAATAGGAAGTCGCCACAGGAATAAAGTGTACGGACTTAGTTAATCAATCCACAATAACCCAGTCTGCATCTTATTTCCTCAAGGTCTATGGTAAGCCTACAATAAAATCCATACTAATGTGCTCTCCCCTCCCTCCGTTATCTCCAATATCTGAGTCAATCCACATGGTGTCTGATGTTCATACTTCACCTATTGACAATTCAAAAACATAGATCCATAAGCAACAATGTCATTCTTCATTCTTCGCCACCAATAGTGTTGTTTCAAGTCATGGTACTTCTTCATGACACCTGGGTGAATGGAATAGCAAGAGATGTGAGCCTCCTCAAGAATCAACTCTCTAACCCATAAAACTTTGGAACACAAATCCGGCCTTGAAACCACATAACACCATCATAACCATTCACAATCTTTTTAGCACCCCTCCCCCTCCCCCCTGCTACACTGTATCCTTTAACATCAACAAGGATTATCAAACTAGTGAGCTTGAAGCGATGCTGGAGACTCTGATGGTCGATATAGACCTCACATTGAATGTCGTACAGATATTGCCTCCAAATCTTCAGCGCATGAACAGTGGCTACCAATTCTAAATCATGCACAAGGTAATTCTTCTCATGAACCTTTAACTGCCAAGAAATGTAGGCTATCACCTTAGTCCTGCATCAATAATGCACCAAAACCAATATGCAATGCATCACAATACACAATGTAAGATCCCGAATTTGTAGGAAACAACAACACTGGGCATGTAGTCAATGTTGTATTGAGCTTCTGAAAGCTCAACTCACACTCATCGGAGCACCTAAAAAGAGAACCTTTTTGGGTCAACTAGGTCAATGGGGCTGAGATAGATGAAAATCCCTCCATGAACTAGTGATAATAACCCTACAAACCTAAGGAGCTCCAAATCTCTGTAGCTTAAGTAGGTCTAGGCTAGTTCTGAACTGCTTCAATCTTCTTATGATCCACCTTAATGCCCTCGGAAGATACAACATGGCCCAAAAAGGCAACTGAGTCCAACCAGAACTCACACTTTGAAAATTTGGCATATGACTAAGTTTGACATACGATCCGCAGATGCTGCTCATGCTTCTATAGGAAACATCTCTGGAAACTCGCGTACGACTCTGCACTAGGTTCACGGATATGGGCCAAATATGTCAAGCACCCCTTATTGATCATACGTCGCACCTTCACATAAGAAATTACCCTATTGGTAGAATGTCCAGGAGTCCATCTCTCTTCTATTCGAGGCAACCCCGACATGGCTAATGTACAGTCTTTGCGTGACAGTCCAAAATAGCGTGATAAGGTGACAACTATTCCATGCCTAAGATCATGTCAAAATCCACCATATCAAGAAGTAGAAGGTTACCCTAGTATCATAACTCTCGATAGTGACCAAACAAGCACGATATACCTGGTCTATAGAATCTCTGATAGATGTAGGCACATAAATGGGAGCACTTAAAATATCACGAGACATATCTAAATATGAAGCAAAATAGGATGACACATATGAGTAAGTGGAACCCGAATCAAATAGAATTGATGCATCTCTATGGAAAACTTGAATAATACCTATGATGACCGCATCCGATGACTCTACATCGGTTCCAGCTGGGAATGCATAAAAATGGGACTGAGCACCACTCTGATCTCTGCCCCTCATACGGCCTCAACTGGTTGGCCTCCATTTCTAACTGCCTCACCACTACCTCTAACTGCCAGACCCCAGCCTTTGGTTGGA